TTCATAACTGCTTAAATTGTACATATGTGACTTTTATATATACTGTATTTATAAAAAAAGACATTGTTGACATAATGATATTTGAAATGAGAAAAGATGGTAATATTTAGACTTTTTGGAAGAACAAAGTAAGATCATATCTGCAAAGTTTAACCAGGCAGATTACAAAAATATTTTTAAAAATTAGAAAAACTTAAAATGCTTTCTAATACCCGTTCCAATTGGTCCGTACAAATCAGCCACCGACATATAATCGTACTCAATGTGAATGCTTTTACTACTAGTCGGTCCAATTATAGGATCGGTCCAGTCAGTCAGTGTGAAATAGCCCTTACTCCTTCAGCTCATGTTTTTTTTTTATGTATGTACTTTGCAGACTGATTAATAAATTTTCAAAATTGGAAAGAATATTTATGGACATACACTATAGACTTGGAGAATGGCAAAGAATATTCTTAAAGTTAAGATGCAGTCAATTTAAAATCTTGAAAATGAAATATATGTTTTTATTTCTTTGATGCTTTATTATTATTATTAAAACTGATGTAGAGAAAGTTTATTAATACTTTGAAAATTTGTTTGAATTTAATGTTCGTTTATAAATAAAACCTTAAGTTTAAATCAATTATATTTGGAAATATCTGTTAATGAATGATTAGTGTTAAGTTGGATTATCATTCAAATAAATACTCTTTACAGAACATCTTATTTTCTTAACAGTGAAAAAATAAACACTAAAACAACATCCACAACCACAACACCTTCTACTACTACTACTGTTACTACTAAGAAGACAGTTCCAAAAGTTGTGAAAAAGGTATCTGAAAAGAAACCAACCCCTAAGCTATCTTCACAAGTTAGCAAGACATCTAGCAAAATAGAAAAAGAAACAACTAAAACTGCTGCCACAAGCAAAACAGCTACCACATCAAAAGATGGTAGATAACTTAAAATATAATATTAAATATTTACATTTTGTTAGGCTGTTCCATGGAATTTTGCTATTATTTTGATTAAAAAGCACATTTTATTTTAATAAACCATTTCATTTGTTCCAGTTGCTAAAGATAAATCCCCCACAAATAAAGAACAGGAGCAAGAAGAATCAGATGTTGACAAATTACATGTTATGGTTGCAGCTGATGAATTAACTGATGAAATTCAGAATGCAGCTCAAGATGATGTTGGAACCGGTATTAGGGAACCNAAGATCATATCTGCAAAGTTTAACCAGGCAGATTACAAAAATATTTTTAAAAATTAGAAAAACTTAAAATGCTTTCTAATACCCGTTCCAATTGGTCCGTACAAATCAGCCACCGACATATAATCGTACTCAATGTGAATGCTTTTACTACTAGTCGGTCCAATTATAGGATCGGTCCAGTCAGTCAGTGTGAAATAGCCCTTACTCCTTCAGCTCATGTTTTTTTTTTATGTATGTACTTTGCAGACTGATTAATAAATTTTCAAAATTGGAAAGAATATTTATGGACATACACTATAGACTTGGAGAATGGCAAAGAATATTCTTAAAGTTAAGATGCAGTCAATTTAAAATCTTGAAAATGAAATATATGTTTTTATTTCTTTGATGCTTTATTATTATTATTAAAACTGATGTAGAGAAAGTTTATTAATACTTTGAAAATTTGTTTGAATTTAATGTTCGTTTATAAATAAAACCTTAAGTTTAAATCAATTATATTTGGAAATATCTGTTAATGAATGATTAGTGTTAAGTTGGATTATCATTATCAAATATAAGTTTATAATTAATTAATGCAATAAATAAATATTATTTTATTACTCAGTTTCTTATGTAAACTTTGTTTTCTTTTCAGGAGTTTCCAAAAAACCAAAGGTATCTTCATCTGTTAATAAAAGAGGTAAACTAAGTTAAATATTTATACTAAGAATATTTTTTTATGTAATGTATTTATTTCAAATCAAACTTATTTCAAAAATTTTCAAATGCCTCCTTAAAGAATTTTAAACAATAATATGTAAAATCTCTCAATCGGGGTATTTGCTTTTAAAGAAAAATTTACTTAAGTCTGACAATTTCTAGCTTTTGTAATACCTGTAATATTTCTTGTTTATTTACTAATACTTTTACTGAATAAATTTTATTATTTAAAATTAGTCTTTCTCTGAATAAGAATGGTGTTGATTTTCTTACTCTCTGAAGGAAAACTGTTCCACATTTATTACAAATTATAAGATATATAGAAAATATATTAGAAAATTGTTTAAACAGTTATAATATTTGAAATTTAACATTTTGACATTTGACAGTTGAAATTTTTGACATTTTTGCAAGAAGTTTGAGATTATAAAAACAAAAGGATAAGTTTGAAAATCAAAATTTTACACCATCTTGCATGCACCATCTTGTCTATTGTCTGTTTTACATATTTTTCTCCAGGTAGTGTTTTTTGACTTGAAAAATTTTGAAATTTTCTATAATTTCAAAATTTGCAATAGTTTTTGACATAATCACTACACAGTGATTATGTCAAAAAGTAACCATGTTTGTACCTGACTTTTGGTAATAAATTCCTTTTGTTATTTACACTTGTCTTTGTTTTATGGACCATCGGAAGTTGAAAAAAAGACAGTCTATGTAGATTAACTCTTTTTTTAGTAATCCAGTTTCTATTTTCATTTCACAAAATATTCAAGTAAACTTTCAAGATCTCTCCCAAAAATTCTCAGGATGCCAAAGGACTCTGAGAATGGAAAGTAAACAAACAACCAACATTATCTAAAACATGCTTAATTCTCTGTTCAATTTACTCTTCCTTTAACACAGGACATGCTCCACATTTTTCTGTAAACAAGCATTTGAATATCTACTTCAATCAAAGTAAGTAATTTTCACCAGAATGTTAAAGTCTGGCATTTAAGTTGTAACTTTACAGAGGATGGCTGATTCATCTCCAACCCAATAAATGGACCAGATGTAGATTGGTCAATTTGAAGAAAAATTTAAAATACCATAACTGAAGGGATTCTATTACAGTAGAGCATCAATTATCCGAATACCGATCAATCGAAACATCGGTTAATCGAAAGTGTTCCAATCGGCAAATTCAAATTAATACTAGTGCTGTAGCACTGCAATATTTGGCTGTCTTGGGCTACTCCAATATTATTTTTGTTGGTGTGCATGTTTTAGCTGACAGCACTGGCCTGACCATATGGTATTGTTAAAAATTATTTCTTTATTTTGCACAAACAAAATAAATATATTGAAAAATATAAAAACAAAAAAAATATATTTCGGAAGTTAATCTAGTATCAAAAACATTCCGATTCAGCA